CATCACTTTTGCAGATTCAGGCTAACACGGCGACCCCTCTGATGGGAGCTGAAGAGTTCACCAGGCTGGGAGAAGGACACATGCCCATTGATGCTGATGGATACCCTGGGGCAGGAGGAACAGGGAGCATGATATGCAGCAGTGAAGTCCCCAGGAGCCCTGACTGCGTGACACCCTTTCCCCAGGAAAGAATTCCTGCTTCTCTACTGTCTGCATCCTCCCTTGGCTAGCGCTCAGCAGAGCCTCCCTTTATCCCAGGGGTGGGAAACCTCTGGCCTGCGGGCAAGACCTGGCTCACCCCTTAATTTCATTTAGCCCGGCTACTGGTCTAGAGGGACCAGGTGTGACCCAGCCTGGAAGTTTTTATCCTAGATCTAGAGCACTGGACTGGGCATCAGGAGATGTCCCAGGTCAGTTGCTGGCTTTGCTGTATGGCCTTGGGTGAGTCACTTCCCCTCCCTGTGCCTCTGTTTCCCCTCTCACTCTGTATCTGCCTTGTCCATTTAGACAGTAAGCCTGTTGAGGTAGGGCCTGTCCCTCGTGGTGGTTTGTATAGCACCCCCTAGCACCGTGGGCCCTACTGTCCTGTGGGTAGTACTGCGGCAGCCTCTACTAAGGAAACGGCATGTGTAGCTTTGGAACGCACCATAGATGACTGCTGTCGACTTTACCTTCTAAGGGCCAGATCCTCAGCGGCGTAGCTCTGCTGGCATTAGTGGGGCTGAGCCGGTTTATGCCAGCTGGGGTCTGGCCCAAAGAGTCAACATGGCAGGAGGCTTATAGTGAAGTGAAAACATGAGAGCGTCGATTGTGTGCACTCTTTGGAAGGTAGCGATTGACTAAGTGTTGGCTGCGGAGGGCCTGACAGCCACCATAGGCCCTGGGGCAAGGTGCGTGGAGGGGGAGGCTCTGCACCCCCCCAGAAGGGACAGGGCCAAGAGCAGTCAGGCCTCAGCACCACCCAGACTGCAGTGTAAACCTCCCCGCCGCTCCCCCCCATACACAGCCCTCAGAGCTCCATAGAGTGGTGCTACTCTGCTCCTGTGGCAGTTCAAAGGGGCCCAGTGCTCTGGCCTCCTCCTATCCCCCCCACCCTGTCGGTGGGCCTTGTTGGCTGTTGAGGTATTTTAACTTCCCACCAAGCTGCACTTGTGAACGCACTAAGGACAAGCTGTGACTTGCACAGAGCATCGCTGAGTACCCCCGCCAGTGAAGAGCAATAGTGCACAACAAGGACAGGAAGGGACGGACGCCTGGTATCCAGTGTAAGCTACAGCAGGGATGGAGGTTGGCCAAATGTCGGCTGACTCACGTTTGAGTTTGGCCAAGATATTGGGTAACTGCTCCTCCTCTGGCAAATAGCGTCAAGGAGTTGGGAGCTCAGTTTGATGCTTTAATTTTTCTGCAACCTGTTTGAACAGCCTGTGTTTCTAACCAGAGCCTCATCCCATGGCTCATTTTGCAGCTGTGATGCATTTGGCTTGGCAGGATAGTATGGGATTCCCTTTACACCCTATCAGCATGTCCCCTGGTAGCCAGAGCTCACAGTGGATGGTACAAGGCAGACCTGTTTCCCTGATAGGGCTGGGCATGGTCCAAGAGCGTGGTGGGAGTTGCACAATCCATACTCAGTGGCTAAAGAAGAACAATGAGAAATAAGAGAGGAGTTTACCAGGGGAAATTAGGCTCATTTTTCATGGTGCTTGATAACTGTGGGAGATGTTTGGAAGCCACTGGTGTCATGGCAATGCTAAGGGCAGCCTGCCCCTCCAGGCCTGCCTGCCTCCAGTGGAATCGCCCCAGGGAGGAGTTTGGAACATTGTCTTGTTTCTTGTGAGTTGTTCTAGACTAAGAAGGGCAGAAGCATGTAATAAATCTCCTTTTGCCCGAGGCTGCTGGCTTCACACTGTGGGAGTGCCAGAGACTGGCAAGGTCAGTTGTGGGACCGGTTCTGCTCATGCTGAGGGAATAAATAGGCCCAAAGAGTTAAAGGGGTTAACACGACCCTGTATCTGTTCAACATTAAACAGCGATAAACAAGGTTCAGGGGTTGGTACGCAGGGTCCTCAGCCTGCTTAATGTCCTGGCAAACACCCAGTAAGCAGCCATTTTCTGTGAAAATACAGAAAAGGACGAGTAACAGTTGAAGCGGTTGAAATATGAAGCATGATACAAGGCTGTCGTTTCATTAGCGTCCCTCGTTCCCTTCGGCTGGTGAGAGTTCTTGGAAGAAAGCCTCCGTTTGACAGTCTATAAGCGGTATGAAAGATACCGCGGCTTTCCTTTTTGGAGGTTGGGGAGGAAGTTAGTTGAGCTGGGCTGGAGTAGCTGTTGTTAAAATCTCATCTGCTCTCAGATTATAACAAAGACACACAGAAGGGAGATGGAAAAGAAGAGCACAGGTAGAAAATGCAGCTTTTGTCCCTAGGGGTGACTCTTCCTTGCATCCTTGCAGCTAGAGAAACCCAAGCCTGGCACATGTTGGAATAATAACCTGAGGCCAGGTCTCTGCATAAAATATGACATTGGCACTGATGTGAAGACACTCCACAATGATGCAGTTAATTCGCAGTAGCTATGCTGGCAGAAAACACTTAGGCTACGTCTAGACTGCAAGCCTCTTTGGAAAAAAGAGCATCGAGACTATAACCAGTACTTTCAAAAAGCAAGCCACTTTTTTGAAAGAGAGCACCCAGGCAGTCTGGATGCTCTTTCGAAAAAGCACAGTTTGTATTACATAGCGCTTTTTTTTGAAAGAGCACTTTCGAAAAAAGGCATTCTTCCTCGTAAAATGAGGTTTTCCGCGGTCGAAAAAACTGCCACATTCTTTCGATTTACTTTAGAAAGAATGCGGCAGCAGTCTAGATGCAGGGGAAGTTTTTTTGAAAAAAGGCCACTTTTTTGGAAAAAACCCTGTGGTCTAGACACACCCTCAGGTACCAACATTGGGCTGTTTAGGACACTGGTTTTTTTTCTGCCTCTGTGGTGGCTATGGATGTGAATAGGTAACCAGATACCCGGAAAGCATCACCCTTACTGGGTACTGGTTAACCAGTACCCAGGAACAACCCCCCTGCACATAGCGCACTGCAAGCAGAGGGCTGCTCCAGCTCCACAGGGATTGGGAGTTGGACTCCCTACATGCAGGGGGGCAAGGAGCAGACGCTCCCCCACCCCTACATGCAGGGCTGCTGGCTCCTGCTGCTTGCCCCCATTAGCCCTGTGTGTGGGGAGGTTGGCTTCTGCTCCTGGCAGTCCTGCACACTGGGGTCTGGAGAAGAAGTCTGCCCCATGGTGAGCCCAACTGGGGGAGCAGGCTGGGAGCAAGAACCAGCACCCCCATGGGCTGGAGGCTGTTCCAGCCGGGAAGGAGAAGTCCCTCCTGGAATCCCGTTTAATCTGTTAACCTGTTAAACCTAAGGTTTAACTGGTTAATGGAATAACTAGGATTTTACATCCTAGTAGTGGCAGGCTCACAGCAGGGTTGCAGAATACACCATCTTGGCTGGCTAGGCCAGACTTACACTGCACAGAAAGCAAAAGTGGAGCGATAGCAAAGAGAAGAGATGGGTGGGAAGAAAAAGACCGCACCAGGAGGGAGGGAGGGAGAAGACAAAGCCTTGCACCTCAGGTGGTTGCTGTCTTGGACCAGCCCTGTAGGGACGTTTCTGAGGATCAGGATGACAACGGCCCAATGGTGTCATGGTGGATCCTGGTTCTCAGGAATCAGCAGGGAGGCAGCCATGACAGGGAATCTCACTTTCCTGTTCTCCAGCCTTATCCTCTTCACTCCCCTTCTCCCTCCCACAATGTTGTTTTTGTTTTGAGACTCCCTGAAAGAGGCAATGGTTGCAACAGCTCCGCCCCTCGTTAGTGTGTTCACTAATTAGATCTAATGTACAACATGCCAATTTTAGTCCATTGGTTTTCAGTCCCATCTTTTCCTAGTTACTGGCCATGGTGTTAATACAGTCCCTGAGCTACAACAGGCCTTTGTGTTTGGACCATTTCCCTCTTCATGTCTTCCCTTTGCACCTTTCCCCAGCACCGTTTCTTACCGTAGGCTGCTGTGCGGCTGTGGGAATGTGCACTCCTCACAGCTCAGCTCATAGTTAGGGTCCATTTGTTGGCCTCATTAGTACAACACGCCTGATCCTGGGAACAGCCCCCACGTCCCACAAGTCCTTGGGACTCAGGGTCATTCACCCTCACTCAGCAGTTGGAAGGCTCAAGTCCTGGCATGTAGCTGTGATTAATTCCCTCGCTCAAGCTTTGAGTGCCCAAGACTGTGCCACTCTGCGATGTCCCTGGGCAGCAGTTTAACGAGGGGGGTGCATGCTTTGGTGCTGCTGTAGGATGAGTGTATTGCACATGCCAGGTGCTCCCGGCATCCCTCCATTCCCTTCCTGCAAGGGCCCTCTGTCCACCCTTCCACTCCCCTTTATTTCAGGCCAGGGGTCACCTGGCCCCAGATTCACTGTTTGGTTTGTTACACTTTTACTCCTTTCTGGTTTTCTTAGAAAACAGCAGTATGTTGGGAAGAGCAGACTAGCTCCAGGCTGGGGAGCCGCTAGAGCCGGAGCAAACTCAAAGCCTAGCCCTGAGGCAAACAAAAGTTTTTCTCAAGAGAGGCTTGGGAAGTTTGATCAGGTGGTTGGTTTGTTGCATTACGTGGTGCCTGACGGGATAGTAACCTGCGTGGTTTGTCTGCTGGGAGTGACGCTCTGAATGGAAAAGCATCTGCCTCTACGGCTTGAGTTAAGTGATCGGATCCATTCACTCAGTGTCTCTAGCACCCTTGTGGTCTGGATGGGTTGAACAAGAGCCCCAGTGAAAGGTCGGGGCCCTGTTTTGCTCAGTGCTGTACGGACGCAGAACCAAGACGCTGGTGCCTGCCCCAGAGAGCTCTCCCATAGTCATGTTTAGTTTAGCTGGATGATAGTGCCAGTTTGAGGAACCTGATCAACATCCCGGGAGACTCATGCTCTCTCCATTCACAGGACGGGCCCCGTGAAGGCAGTGACGTGGCCGGCTCCTCCACCCCACTCTGCCAATGGACCGCTGGAGAGGGGAGAGAGCTACCCACGCTACAGGCCTAGTCGGTCTCTGAGAGCAACTGTCCCCAGGGGACCTGACTGTGGATATCTGTGACTTCTGGTGTGGCCTTCGGGATCTCTCCATCTCCATCACGGGGCTGATGCCACCACCACATGGCCCTTGGAATGGGAGTCACTATGTGAGTACAAAGAATTTACTCTTCCTTACCTGACATGGGGCTAGGCCCAGAGGGATGACTGTTCCGGCGGCTCCAGCGCATAATGGACAAGGGCAGATCACATGCCTCTCTAGCCTGGGTCTTACGCTGGTGCCCTTCCTGGGCAGTGAAGGGAGCATTGTGTTAGCACTGCAGACCACCCAGTTACAGGGACCATGTGGGCTGGAGGTGTTGACCTTGCTGGGTGGCATCCCCTGTGCTGCGTACTGCTGCAGAGGCCCTCGGCAGGCTGGCTGAAGCAAAGCCCTGGCTGGGGAAGGAAAAGACCAATCTGCAGCTTTTCGCTCTTGGCGGAAGGAGAGTCCCCAGGGTGGCTACCCGAGCGGCAGCGCAAAGCAGGGAGCAGAAATACGAGAACCTCTGCCGAGGGCCCCACCCAGCGGGTGATCACCACCGCTTTGGCGTATGCAGTGTGGGGCACAGAGCCGGGATGCAGGCACTCCCTGAACCTCCCTGGAGCAACAGGCCCAGGGCTGCAGGGCCAGCCCCACCCTTCCTCCTTCTGAGGGAGGGCCAATGGCGCCTCATCTCATGGCACTTTTGAGGAGGGAAAATCCTTCCAACTGTGCCCAACTCTAATATATTCCCACCCCACCAGGCCTAAAGAGGCAGTCCTGTCAGTGGGCTCTGCTTATGCTCCACAGTCCCCTCTACACCTGGGTTTAGGGCTGGTGAAGCCATGTGGTGTGAGACCCTCCTGCCCCAGTGGCACCCCAGCTCAGTCTGTCTACAGAGCCAAGCAGAGAGAGTCTGTGTAAGGCCTTCACCAAAGCATCTCTATGGACTCCACAGATCCTGCCCCCTCCCTCTGCAGTGGGCCTTGCTGCCAGGGCCCCCTGCAGCCCCAGAGCAAGGGAGCAGAATTCCCCCACATCAGGAGTTCTCCAAAGGGTTCCTGACCAAAATGCCCCCTCTGTGTGCTGTTGGGTTGCTGTGCTGCACACCAGAGGAGGCTGCATTGCAGTGGTGCTGTGGGCCTGTGGCTAGTGGTGCACTGGGATTACGCTTTGGGATCAGGCAGGGGAAGGTGGCGTCATAGTGTTATATTGTTTGAGAAATGCACGTTGATCCCGTCTCAACAATATGCACCCGTTTTACGTTGGGTGCTGATCAGCCAGTATGATCCCTTGCAGCAATGATGCTGCCCTGTGCTGTGACCTGTAAGCGCCCCCAAACCTTTGCTAAATAAAGTGCAACCCCTTCTCTCCCGCCCCCCCCTTCCCTCAGACAATATGTCTCAGAGCCTAGGGCAGCGGACTCAGGCCCATGCTGCAGGGCTAAAACTAGCAGTGTAGGCATTCAGACTCCGGCTGCAGCCCAGGCACTGAGACTCACCAGTCACCAAGTTTCAGAGCCCAGGCCTAAGCGTCTACACTGCTCTATGTAGACCTGCAGCACAAGCCCAGGTAGTTACCCTGCTCTCTGAGACTCACTGCAGTGGGTCTGTACTGTGTACCTGGCCCCCGCTGACATCCAGCTGAAATCCCTTTTCCCCCTTTGTCCCTGCAGAAAGTTTCCTTGGAGTTGCGAGGCCATGGAGGCATGGAACCTGACGGAGACATGGTACCAAAGCCTGCACTCGGTGCTGAAGGCCCTGAACCAAACACTTCATGGTGCCATCCAGTGCCAGGCAGAGCAGGCCATGGGGCAGACAAATAGCAGTCAAGCTAAGCTGGCCAGCAAGGATGACTATTCCTACATGTACATCTTGTTTGTGATGATCCTGTTTGCCGCCACAGTGGGGAGTTTGATTCTGGGGTACACCAAGTCCAGGAAGGTGGACAAGCGGAGCGACCCCTACCATGTGTACATTAAGAATAGAGTGTCTGTGATTTGAGCAGGACAGGGACACTGTTGCAAGGACGTGCACAGCTACCGGCACCTGCTTTTCCTGGCCTAATCCAACTCTTCTTGGAGGGGCCAGCACATGGCTCTGTCCTGCTAAGAGACAGCCACAAGGACAAAGGCAGAGGACACTAGCAGGCCAGAATAGTCATGTGACAGCTCTGGACACTCGCCAACAGGTCAATCTCGGATCACTTTGCACCAGTTTCTAAGTTGCCATCTCCTTGTCCTCCAAAGGACAGGGGATTGGCCGATGGAAGGGCTTACATGTGTCCCAGAATCCTTTGCTCCAGTGCAAGGGAGCATGGGATGCATGTGGGCGCTGCAAGTTCTGTTACTGTGATGTTGGAACATCATATGAAATTGCAGATAAATGGATATGGAGATCAAGGGGTGTGGTGCCCACAGCTCAGCAGTGCTCGTGCTCCTGACTATGGCGGAGCATGGCACAGTTAGGGGACTGGGTGGGAGCACAAGGCAAGGGCACTTCTTCCACCCCCTAGAGTCCAGATCATTGGTGCTGTGACCTAGCACCAGTGTGTGGAGGTGCCTCTTTCACTACAACAGAGAATGAATGATGGGGAGATGAGCCAATCAGATTGTTTGATTTGTCCCTCTGCGTCTGTTAGCCTCTCTCTAGGCATGTGTGGCCGGGAGCCTAATGATGCTCTGAGCGGGGATGCCTCCCAATCTTAGAGAAGCTAGAGAGCAGCTCCCACTAATCTCTGCCCCCAGGACCAAGCAGGTGTATATCACACAGAGAGCCAAGCAGCATTCCCTAACCACGGTAAACCGTTCTGCATTTTAATAAATCTACGGCCACATAGCATACGGTGTAGCTGAAAGAGACTTGTTAGCAATATAGGGTCTGTGACCTTTCTGGTCCTTAAAAATACATTTATCTATGAAATGGGTTTTCTTCAAAAAAATATGAATTGAATTAAATAAAGTGACAATGAAAGGGATGGTTATAAGACAAACGGGTGTTTGTTTCTGTTTCAAGTGGTTATAATTATCCAGCCACTGACATTAGAGCCCAGTAGAATCCATAGAAATGTGGGGCTGGAAGGGACCTCAAGGGGTCATCTAGTCCAGCCCCTTGTGCTGAAGCAGGGCAAAAGCTTCAGCTGCTGCACTGGTGACTGGGAGAGGTATTCCCTGCAAGGTGTGTACTTGTACGGGTGCTCAGGAGAGATTCGAGTTCCTCCCAGCTAATTAGCAGAATGCCCACAGCTAGGTGTTTGTTTCTACTGGTGGTGCACATTCACACATGGCTTAGTGCACATAAACATTTATTCTGCACATGGATGGAAAAGATTAGAGCAAGGATGGGCAAGAAGTGACTAGTGGGCCAGATCCAGCCCACAGCACCTTGCCGGCACTCTTACTAAACAGCAGCAGCAGCCACTTTAAACAGCAAGCTGATATTTGCTAAGCAGTCTGGGCAGGGAGAAGAAAGCTTTGTGTGGTGCCCCTGCCTCCAGCAAAATCCCTCAGCTCCCACTGGCCAGTTTCTGGCCAACTGGAGCTGAGAAATGTTGCTGAAGGACAGGTCAGTAAATGAAGCCTCCTCACTCCCAGTCTCTCCCCGTGCTGGAGCAGAGCCTGCCCAGCACACAAGCATAGGGCCTGTGTCAGGTTCCTGCAGAGCTGCTGACTGGAAGCCACCTCGGTAAGCGCCTCCCAGTCAGAGCCTGCCTCTGGCACCCCACTCCCTTTTCCCCCCCAACTACCTGCCCCAAGCCACCACCCAAACCCTCTGTAACCCCTCTCCCCACTTCTTGCAGGTCACAACTCCCTCCCAGACCAAAATCTTGGGAGTGGGCCCCCATTACAAATTATTGCCTACCCCTGGGTTAGAAGGAACGTTGACTGGGAGAACCCAGGAAGATTTGCTATGGCTATGGAACAGCCACACATGGAAGCAGCTGTTTCTTAATTTTAGATCACCAGCCACCCCCAGTTGTTTGGACTCTGCCTGGGAAGTGCTGCTGTCCCTCCAGTGCTCTCTTCCCAGCCGCTCCCCCTCCCTCTCTGGTGGTAGCAGGGCCTGAAGGAAGGAGTCAGAGAATGCAGCACACTCAGCAACCGTGGTGGCATTGGGCCATTGCTAATCTCACCCCCGGAGGGAGGTAGATGGAACCTGAGATTTTTGGTTCCCTGGGCGAGTTGCTGTGGGCACAGGAGAGAGCACCCAAAACTGGGACCATTCTGCACTGACCCCACTAGGGTGGCTCAGCACGGGCTGGTGGGAAAGGACTGAGATCGGGGTGTTCCTGGAGGTGCCCATTTCAGCCTCTAGAAGAGGATCGGATGGCTGAGGGGAGAGGAAAAGGAAGTGCATATGGGACTAGGAGGCTGTAGCCTGGGAAGTGGAAGAAGGGAAGGTAATAGGCAGCCTGGAAGCTGAGTACCGAGCTGGGTGGGAGGCCAGGGCTGGCAGAAATGTCTGTCTTGCCACTGTCTCTCTAAACACTTTCCTGAATGACTAAGCTAAAGGTACTTTGCCTTTCTTAGGGGACAGCGATCTAGCATCCTCAAAAAATTGGTGCCTGTTAGTCTCAAGGCCGCACCTCAGTGGGAGGGAAGGGTTATTAGCAGCTTTGTACAGACCGCAAACAGAAACCCAGAGAAGTCAGGGATTGGCCTTGGACAGAAAGTGAGTCTCCCATAAGAACGGCCATACAAGGCCAGACCAAAGGTCTGTCTAGCCCAATGTCCTGTCTGCCAACAGAAACCAATGCCAGTGCCCCAGAGGGAGTGAACAGAACAGGATATCGTTGCGTGATCCATCCCGTTGCCCATTACCAGCATCTGCAAACAGAGGCTAGGAACACTATCCCTGCCCATCCTGCCTAATGGCCATTGGTGGACCTACCCTCCATGAATGCACCTAGTTCTTTTTTGAATCCTGTGATGGTTTTGGCCTGCACAATGTCCTCTGGCAAGGAAGCTGTGAGCTGTGTGAAGACGCTGCACTGTGTGATGATGGATCCCATTGGAAGATCACCAGCTCTTCATGGCAGGCCTGTCTTTCGTTCTTGTGCAGCACCTAGCACAATGGGGCCTAGTCCATGACATCCCTAGTATGGTAATACAACTAATACATGTACAGCACCTGGCATGGTAGATTAGCTCTGCTTGGTCCTACTGAAATCAAAATAAATAGCAGATTTGAATTGCACTGGACCTCCGGCCAGAAACCTTTGCATTATAGGACCAGTGATGTCTAGAACCTTGCTCTGGGTCTGTTATTGTCTGTGTCCTTCGCTGCTCTTGTTGACACAAAGCTAAACCAGGGGTGTTTTGGTGGCCCTTCCTCTGGGGCTGCCTGTGTTGCTGCCACTTTGCAGGTGAGAGCAGAACTTGCTGTGACTAGGTTTGTTTCCCGCCACGGCTCAGCTCTGTATTTGATGTGGCACTCAGGAGGACAATGCGAATGTTTGCATTCCCATGAGTCACCCTATAGCTTGAGCAATGCAGAGCTGTGGGGTGGGGGAAGGAGGGATTTTTTCCCCACAGAGAAATAAGCAGGGGTGTGGATCATTTATCTTGTGGCCTGTGCATGAGGCAGAGGAAAATAAAACTCTCCGCAGTGTCTCAGGCTTTTATTTACAAATGGAGCAGGAGGAGGATTGGGAGCAGGCTGTGATTTCAGAGAATGCCAGTGCAGGCACCCGAGGGTTTGTTTTTGCAGTAGCTTTTAACTCATGATTGTTTGCTCCCTTATCAAATACCACTCAGATTTGCTCTGATTCCTCTCCTCTCCCAACTATGAACTTTCCATCCTACACTGGGTGGGATGCAAGGCTTGGTGTTCTTCCAGTGGGCATTACCCTCGCTGTTCTGGCCCCATTTCAAAGTAGGAAATGAATCTGGGGGAAGGCGGGAAGCAAATGGGGTAGAGAATAAGGGATGGAGAGAGGGAAGAACTGATTGGGGCCAGAGAATGAGGACCGGAGATGGAGGGGGAACAAGACATGGAGGGAAGAGGAATAGGAATAGATAGAATGACCTACAAGGCAGGGGAAATGGAGATTTGTAATGAACCCAGAGTAATAAAATGGAGCAAGAAAGCAGAGAGGGGCAGAGCTGGGAAATGTCCGCTTGTAGGTGTTTCTTCTTGAGGGTACGTCTACACTACAACGTTAATTCGAACTAACTTAGTTCGAATTAGTTAATTCGAACTAAGCTAATTCGAACTAACGGATCCAGACTAAAAAACTAGTTCGAATTAGCGTTTTGCTAGTTTGAACTAGCATGTCCACATTAAGGCCATGTCCAGACTCAGGGATTCTTTCGAAAAAAGTAGCCTTTTTTCGAAAGAACTTCCCCTGCGTCCAGACTCAAGCCGCGTTCTTTCGAAAGTAAATCGAAAGAACGCGGCTTTTCTTTCGACGGCGGTAAACCTCGTTTCACGAGGAAGAACGCCTTTTTCGAGGGAGATCCGTCGAAAGAACGTGAGTCTGGACGGGGGGAGCCCTTTCTTTCGAAATTATTGGCCTCCAGGAACAAGCCCTGGTGGACAATCTGGGCCATGGGTTGCACGTCTGTGGTTCCTGGCTGCAGCCATTCCTTAAAGGGACAGGCGACGTGAGTCTGGACAGGGGGAGCCCTTTCTTTCGAAAGATTTGGCCTCCAGGAAGAAGCCCTGGTGGACAATCTGGGGCATGGGTTGCACGTCTGTGGTTCCTGGCTGCAGCCATTCCTTAAAGGGACAGGCACCCTCACAGACACTTGTTGCAGACAAGGAGCCAGAGCACACGGCGACCTTGCTGCAGCATG